AATTAAACGCAATCAATCATATATGATTTATTAGTTATGGCGAATCCCAAGTTAGAACAAAAACAAAGAGAAGATGAAAATGGATTTCTTAACATTTTTTTGTTGCAATATTTTTTGCATCTTTTGAACATGTTTTCATGTCCTTTAAACAAATTCAAGAAATTGGACATACATCAAGCTTCCTCTGGGGCCTTGTCCTTATCCAATCATTGGAAACATCTATCAACTTAGGAAAAATTCTCACCAAACTCTCAAAAACTTGTGGAATGTAAGTGCATTGCCATTTCAAGAACCTGTTTCTTGTACTTGTATATTCTTTTTGTGGACGACAATCGTCGGTGGATTAAGCATATGAATAAGTGAAGAATTTCTAGTGGATTTTCTATTAGATTTTCAATTTGAAGAGAGAGTGAGGAAGGATAGGAAAGGAATCAGGATATGGGAAACATTTGTAGTGGATTTTCTATTAGATTCTTTCTCTTTATAGATTGCTCAAAAAGTAAAAATGGGTACATGTGATAATGTTCATGATATTATTTTTTTCATGCAATATACTTGAAGATTTTGGTGAATAGGAAATTTTATATGATTGTAACAATTTTTCATATAGTGAAATGTTTTGACAATCTGTAAATGTTATCCTTTCTTTTATATTTTTCATCTTGGTATATTTTCTCTTAACAAAGATCTCATGAGCGAATGAAAGAAAATTGATCTCAATTCTCAACAATGGTATCATAGTGTCGGGTCATTCAAGAGTGTTGGAGTACAAAAAAATATATGTTAGGAAATGAGTGGAGAAATTTGAAGGAAGAATCAATTTTTTAGCTTATAGCAAGTACAAGTCAAGAATGTGTTGATTCAATTTGGATTGTGTAAAGAATTCAAAGGAAGACCAACCCCAATCAGGTGTGAAAAATACGACATCAAGAAAAACTATTCAAAAGGTGTAAGAGACTTAGCTAATTGCTTGGACTCAAAGTAACAATGTATATATCTCTCTTTATAGGAGACGACAATTTCGCATGAATAATATGTTACATCCCCACAACATGCTCTAATTGCCATGATAGATGAGGTGTCATTACTAGCAATCCATGTTTGCACACGGGTTAATATGATGTTGATGGTGTGTGGTGAAATTGATGTTGACGATGAATAAGCTCCCAAGAAATTCAAGCAAGAGGTTGCACCATAACTTTTTAGCAAATTTGTTCGATTTGAGATGATAAAATTTTTAGAATTTATTAGTTCTGAGCAATTATGCTTGTATGGCTTCGCTGGACAAAATAACGTGAATTTCTTTGATGAGGGCAAGCCATGGTCCAAGCAAGATGTTTCCAATGCTTTGGCTTATATTTGAGAATACATGGAAAGGAGACATAGGGTATACGGATATGCAAAGAGAGTATGTCTATACCAAATGGAAATAAGGAAAAGGGTACCGTCAGTGCAGACCAACTCCCGACACCTCTGAGGGAGGTAGTCTATTGTTCTTATTTTCAAACTTCCAAAGGTAAAACCCTAATCATCTAATTCTTTAAATCTTCCATCGAATTGATGTGTAGTTGCTGTTATGCAATTGTGCTTGTTATGTCTGGACAAATTTGCGCGTATCTCGACTAATTTCACGAGATCTTGAAATTTACAATCGGGTACTCATCTCAGTGGTCCTGAGGGGACTCGAACTGATGACCATTAGGAAGTAAACCCAAAGCTTAACCAATTGATTGTTTGATATATGACAAAATTGAAATTGTTTGTTGAAACTTGAAAATTGAATTTAGGGCTTCTTTTTTAAATTGATTTATTGGGATTATGTTTATGTGATTTGTTTCATAATATTTGAATGATAATAGATGCAAGAAGTACTTATTTAAATGAGAAATAAAAATAATAGGAACTTGATGCAGGAGGGTCCGAGTCAGATACTGAGTTGTCAGATAACACGATAATGACTCTAAGGTTTTACGAGTTGGCAGATCGGCGCAAGGATGACAAGTGATCGTGTAACTTTGGCAATTGAGTCGTGNCATCAAGAAAAACTATTCAAAAGGTATAAGAGACTTAGCTAATTGCTTGGACTCAAAGTAACAATGTATATATCTCTCTTTATAGGAGACGACAATTTCGCATGAATAATATGTTACATCCCCATAGCGTGCTCTAATTGCCATGAGAGATGATGTGTCATTACTAGCAATCCATATGTTTGCACACGGGTTAATAAAATGTTGATGGTGTGTGGTGAAATTGATGTTGACGATGAATAAGCTCCCAAGAAATTCAAGCAAGAGGTTGCACCATAACTTTTTAGCAAATTTGTTCGATTTGAGATGATAAAATTTTTAGAATTTATTAATTCTAAGTAATTATGCTCGTATGGCTTCGCTGGACAAAATAACGTGAATCTCTTCGATGAGGGCAAGCCATGGTCCAAGCAAGATGTTTCCAATGCTTTGGCTTATATTCGAGAATACATGGAAAGGAGACTTAGGGTATACGAATATGCAAAGAGAGTATATCTATATATACCAAATGGAAATAAGGAAAAAGGTACCGTCAGTGCAGACCAACTCCCGACACCTCTGACGGAGGCAGTCTATTGTTCTTATTTTCAAACTTCCAAAGGTAAAACCCTAATCATCTAATTCTTTAAATCTCCCATCGAATTGATGTGTAGTTGCTGTTATGCAATTGTGCTTGTTTGATTGTTTGCGCGCACCTCAACTTGCAAAATCATCTAATTTTTTTATAACCGTGAATATCCGAGCCAGCTTGAGCGCACTTCAACTAATCTCACGGGGTCTTAAAGTTTACGATCGGGTACTCACCTCAGTGGCCCTGAGGGGACTCTAACGGTGACAATTGGGGAGCAAACCCAATGCCTAACCAATTGATTGTTTGATATATGACAAAATTGAAATTGTTTGTTGAAACTTGAAAATTGAAATTTAGGGCTTCTTTTTTAAATTGAGTTATTGGGATTATGTTTAAGTGATTTGTTTCATAATTATGTAAAGGATAATAGATACAAGAAGTACTTATTTAAATGAGGAAAAAAATATTAGGAACTTCATGCAGGAGGGTTCGAGTCAAATGCTATGTCGTCAGATAACACGTTAATGGCTCTAAGGTATCACAAGTTGGCAGATCGGCGCAAGGATG